TGAGCAGTAAAAAATCATGTAAACCACATCACAGCACCACAGTGGGTACAATATATTCCCAAAACAGGATACCAATCAAATCATTTCGTTAAATTCTAATTTCAGTAAAATCCTTTAGAAAATGTCTTTCTACCATTTTCCTAATATATAAATTGTAAAGAAGCATGATGTACAAATAGCACGTCATTTTTTATATGAGCACTTCTACAAAAGCTGGTGAAAAATTGCATGGTAGGGGTTGGTGCAGATAACAGTCAAAGTCAGAAGTGCCTGTGAAAAAAGAGAATCCTTGGATGAAGCTGTTGAGTTCTTGTTGGTAATAAATCCCCCATAAAAAATAATATTCACGGTAATAACAACATAATAATAATGTAATATCAAGATGGTAATCAACAAGAATAACAAGAACATAAAGATTTTTACGTAAAAATCCTTCTAAATAAGGAAAAATACCATGAGTCCGAGAGGAGCAAAGTAATCCACTACAATAAGGAATTTTATACTTCATAGTTTCGAGTAAAATATTCTAGGGACAACTACACACTCAAAAGAGATAACCCTCTTTTGGGATTTTCACCTCACTATAATATCGCTCAAACTCTCTATTTTCCTTCATAGACTACACTGTCTATGACTACCTCACATTGCGCTCTAACTCTCATATATATTTCCCTCTAAGATGGTGTATTGAATGAAGAAATAAGCGTCTCTAGTTGTAGCCAAAGTTGTTGGCCAAGCTAATCAATCAGAATTGGTTTCTGCAATTTGCACTTTTCCGCCGCCAAAACTATTTTGTCCAAGACAGATTTGGTACCTATAACATTTTTTTATATGGGTATGGACCTTATCAACCCCTCCCCCTCCCCTTCCCGACATATTCTCCTAAAGCAGGTAACATCTGACTTCTAACTTGAGTGCATACCGATAGAGTTTTTTGTATAACTTGTCTCTTGTTATCTTGGTTAGCATATATGCAGAATTCTCATTTATGAAAAAATTTCAGACTTGTAGAGATTTAATCTTTACCATTTCTCGAATCCAGCGATATATCTCGTTGATGCATTTAGTTCTTGTATGGTACATGAAGTTCTTGCTCAAGTCTATTGCACTTTGACTGTCACAATAGATGACATATTCTTTATGATGCAAGCCAAGCTCTTGAAGGAACTATTTCATCCATATCATCTCCTTGACATCTTCAACAATGACAATGTACTCTGCTTCAGTTGTAGAGAGTACGACACACTTCTAAAATCTCGATTGCCATGATATAGCTCCCCTTGAAAAAGTAAACAAATATTCAGTAATGAATTTTCTATTATCAAGGTCACCTACTATATCAGCATTTGTACAGCCCTTCATGATTGGACCAGATCCTCCAAAAGACAAGCAATTTCCTGAGGTACCTCTCAGGTACCTGAGTATCCACTTGACTGCTTCCAGGTGTTCTTTTTTGGCATTTCCAAGAGACTTGCTGACAACACCGACTGCATGAGCAATATCTGGTCAAATGCATACTATATATTGCATATATCAACCTTTCGACAGCAGAAGAATAAGAAACACTGGCCATGCTCTCTTTCTCCCCCTCTGTTGTAAGACACATCTTTTTGCTTAATTTTAGATGACTAGCAAGAGGTGTACTGATTGGCTTAGTACTATTCATATTGAAGTATTCCAATACATGTTTAATGTACTTCTCTTGAGATAGTCATAACTTTCTGCTTTTTCTATCTCGAACAATCTTCATTCTCAGAATTTCTTGTATTGGCCCAAGTCCTTCATATCAAGTGACTTGGACAAATGTCCCTTCAACTTTACAATCACCTGCTTTTCTTATCCTAAAACAAACATATCATCCACATATAACAACAAAATAATAAAGTTGTTGTCCGAAAATCATTTAAAGTATACACACTATAAGAAATTGGATTATTAGTGGCAACATATAGCAGCAACCCTATAGGTTGCTACAACATCTATATTATTAGCAGCGACATCTAAAGTCGCTGCAGAAGGATAATTTTAAGCAGCGACTTATTTTGGGTCGCCTCTGATATGGCTGAAATTTTCAGTCCCGCTAAAAATAAAATTTTGGCTCCATAATATTTGCGGCGACTATGGAAAAGTCGCCGCTAAAAGTATCTGGCAGCGACTAAGTCGCTCCTATAACCTAGATTTTCCCTTTTAAAATAATAAAGAAAATAAAAATTAAATAAGCTAATTAAAACTTGTCTGTGGAACAGAACCCACAAAGCTGCGAGTGAAACTAACAGAGGAGCAAAACTCTCTCGAGAATATCGATATCGGCGCTCTCTCCCTAAAAATTAAATCAGGTCTTCATCTAAAATTTTATCCAAATCAAAACCCCTCAAATCAAAATGTGAATCTCATTTGTCAGGTATGTTCAAACCCCTAATCTTTTCATTTTTTTTTGGGAAAGAAGTTGATAATCGATAGATTTCGTGTGCTGGAGGAAGAATCAAAGAAACGATTTCTGTTTAATAGAATCGATCGATTTCGTGTTGAGGTCTCAATTTTATGGACTTGAAATTGTAGTTTAACAGCATCGAGTGAACACCTTGTATGTTTGTTTAGCAACGTTCTAGCCTACTTCATCGATTAGGCATATACTGAAAGCTTTAGTTCTGATGAAACCTACATCTTCTGCTTGCTTATGTAAGATATAAGTAGTTTTGTACTAGCTAGAAAGAGCTTCAGCTAGTAATAGAGAGCAAGTGGCTAAGCAGTTCAAATGCATCTAGTACAAATGATTTCATTCGCTATTGCTTGTAAAAAAGCAATATTTCCATTGGAATTCATGTCAATTCTTCAAGTTTATTTGGACTTTCTTGTTGAATTATCCAACAAAATGACAGAATAGGGATTGTTTTCCTCCTTGGTCTTTCTTAAACTTTCTGATAAATGTTTATACAAAATAAGTTTCACTTAAAATTGAAAAACCTTGTTAGTTTGAATGTCTAACTGCACTTGCAAACTTATAACTAGATGTGGTTATGACCAAAAAAATAATAATAACTAGATGTGGAAATGTTGAAATAAAACATTATGCAGTAGTAGGTAATCGATTAACTTGTAAGAAATGCTATCTACTGATATACAAATATAACTAGTAAATGATTTCTGACATTATGGAAAGAATGGAGCATTTCCAATACTTACTCATGCACGGATTAGTATATGCACAATCGGAATAACACAGTTCAAAAACAGAATGAACCAAAAAAAAGTAAAAATATAATGATGGAAAATGTCCAGAACCATAAAGATTTATATAAGATATATTTACATTTGGTTTTTTTTGTATATTGATTCTGTAAGACAAAAGTTTCAACATTCAGTTAGGGATAATTATTTTTTCAGAAATTTCACTTTTGTATTCTCAGATTTTATCTCAAATTTCTCTGTGCCATTTGATAATCTACAGGAATACCAAAAAAAATCACACAGAAAGAATCATATGAAGCGTATTTGGTGTTGTTATTGTCGATTCTCGGTCTTGACTGAATCTCAGCTATCTCTTTTTCTGGGTAAGTTAAAATCTTCTTCTTGAGAGACATTTTATATGTCGGCATTCAATTCAGTTTGAATTATTATATGAGTTTCGTAGGTTCTTTCAGTTATGTCCCCTTACCAGTTAGATCTTGACTTTGATATCGCAATAATGTGATTTTCTCTTCCTAGGATTTGAAAGGGAGTTGTTTTAAGTCCTTGCCATATTTCTTTTGTTATTGCATTTGATATGAAGTTTAAAAATAATTGTAAAAGAGCAGTTTATTAAATGTCTTTCTTGAATACTTAAAGCTTCTTATTTCGTAGTGTCTGTTATATTTCATAGTATCTGTTATATATAGTCTCATTTTCATCAACAATATGTAGTCTCATGCTCACAGAAGGTATAGTCTCATGCTCACAGAAACACTACAGGTTAAAACTATTGAATTTAACTAAAAGTAAGATTCATGACAGTTTGAGTCTAGTTGGGTAAGATATGTTACATCTGTTTATCAAAAAGGTGTTTATATTATGTGGTAGTTTATAAATTCTTTTTATGAAACTATTTGTTTTCCTTGTTAATCAAAAGGTGTGTGAGAAGAAAAAATTGCTACAATAATTCTATTTTATTTATAAGTGATTTGATTTGTTCATCTTTCTTTTAAAATAGATATGATGGATAAAAGTTGGTTGAATATAAGGAATAGAGTCGACCAAAGGTATAGAGATGGAGTAGACAACTTTCTTAATTGGGCATTCAGTCAACCAACTGTGAACGCTATGATTCGGTATCCTTGTAAAGGGTGTATGAATACCGCGTTCAAGCTAAAGGTTGGTGTCAGAGGGGATTTATTGAGGAAGGGTTTCTGGGATTCTTATAAAATGTGGGACTTGCATGGAGAAGTATTAGTTAGAGTTGACACTTCTAATACTGCAGTTAGTGATGAAACGGAAGATGGTAGCATTGAAGAGGATAATATTACTGAAATGATCCACGATGTTTGTGGATATACGAATGTGGAGGATAATAATAATAATTCACAGGACAATGAAGAGCCAAATGTACATGCAACAAAGTTCTACAAATTGTTAGAAGATGCTGAGATAGAACTTTATTCTGGTTGTAAAAAAGTCTCGAAGTTGTCTTTTGTTGTTAAACTACTTCACTTGAATTATCTTAACCATTGGAGCAACAAATTGATGGATGCATTATTGATCTTCTTTAAAGAAGTTCTTCCCTAGGGGTCATTTGTGCCTAATTCTTTCTATGAAGCAAAGAAAGTTCTTTGTGACCTTGGCTTGGGGTACACCAAAATAGATGCATGTCGGAATGATTGTATTTTATATTGGCGTGCTTATGCCTATGTCCAAGAATGTCCTAAGTGTGGTACGTCTAGATGGAAGTCCGAAGAACACGGAGGCAAGAAAGTAGCTCATAAAATCTTGCGGCATTTCCAATCAAACCAAGGCTTCAAAGATTGTACATGACAAGAGAAACAGCTAAAAAGATGAGGTGGCACAAGGAGGGAAATGTTGATGATGGTGTCTTGCGACATCCATCTGACTCAATAACATGGAAATCCTTTGATGCACGACATCCCACCTTTTCAGCTGAGTTAAGAAATATTCGATTAGGTTTGGCAAGTGACGGGTTCCAACCTTATGGGAACATGAGTTCTAATCATAGCATTTGGCCAGTCCTACTAGCTACGTATAACTTGCCACCATGGGATTGCATGAAAAATCCATATTTCATGATGACGCTTCTTATTCCAGGCCCCAAGTGTCCAGGCAATGATATCAATGTGTATTTACAACCAATGATTGAAGAGTTGAAAGAATTATGGGATGGGGTGGAGACTTATGATGCACTCTCAAAATCTAATTTTCTGATGCGTGTGGCTATCATGTGGACGATCAATGACTTTCCTGCATATGGACTTTCAGGATGGTCAACCAATGGCAAGCTTGCATACCCTTGTTGCCATAAAGATACACAATCGACTTCCTTGTATAGTAAGTTGTGTTATATGGGTCATCATTGCTTCCTTCCCATGGACCATCCATGACGGAGAAGTAGGACATTATTTGATGGGAAAATTGAAATAGGAGTTGCACCTAACCCTTTAACAGGTGATGAAGCACTTGTGCAATTACAAGCTTTGGGTAATATGAGTTTTGGTAAAGGACAAAAGAGAAAGCGTGATGTTTATAGCAATGCTTACAATTGGAAGAAGAAAAGTATCTTTTTCCAATTGCCTTATTGGAAGAGTCTTATGTTACGACATAACCTTGATGTGATGCACATCGAAAGAAATGTGTCCGATAATATTATATCAACTATCATGAATATGGTTGGAAAGACAAAAGACACAATGAAAAGTAGATATGACTTGATGGATCTTGGAATCAGATAAAGGTTGCATCCTATTGAGGATGAGAATAATATATTGTTACCGGTAGCATGCTATGCATTGTCCGCGGAAGAGAAGCTGAAGGTATGCAGTTTCTTAGCTAATCTGAAGGTTCCTGATGCATTTTCCTCAAACATTTCAAGGTGTGTCAACGTACAGGAGAAAAATATACATGGATTGAAATGTCACGATCATCATGTATTGTTGCAAGACATTTTTCCAGTAGCTATACATGGTTTGCTACCCAAGGAAGTGTGTGATCCAATTATAGTCTTAGGAAAGGTTTTCAAGAATATATACTCTAAGTGCTTGACGATTGAAGATCTTGATATCCTAGAGGTAGAAATTCCGGTTATTTTGACCAAACTTCAACTTGTTTTCCCTCCGGTTTTCTTTGATGTCATGGTTCATTTGCCAATTCACTTTCCAAGTGAGGCAAAGCTTGGTGGACCAGCTCAATATCGTAATATGTATCCTATTGAGAGGTAATTTATTGTTTAATAATTTCGATGCTATAGTTTTAGAATGACACACATTATATTAATAAGTCATTTTATATAGGTATCTACGAACGCTTAAGTCATATGTTCGCAACAAAAATCGTCCAGAAGGTTCAATTACAGAACGTTATTTGACAGAGGAAAGCCTCACATTTTGATCACGATACTTGAAGAATATCTCAACAATGTTCAATAAACCAACTAGGAATGACGATGGATCTGTGTCAAATGATGAGATGTATATCTTTAAAAAAAGTGGGCAAACAAAAGGTGCCTCAGAAGGCATCAGTCTATCTCATGATGAGTTTAAACAAACATGTATGTATGTGCTTCAAAATTGTGAAGAGGTTTCGCATTTCATGGAGTAAGTCTCTTATTAACTTCAAGATAGTTTCACATTGAGATAATTTGAATCTGATTTATCTTAGCTAACTTAAAATGTAGGGAATATACAAGAGAGATTGAAAGCCAAAGTTCAATGAGAGCTCATAAAAATGGGTTTCTTGATTGGTTTCGCGCACGTGTAGGTGGCTACTCAAATGATAATAGTGATATTAGTTTATTCATCCCATCATGTTATTGGTCATAACAATATTGTTCGTCTTTGTAGATATTTGTACTATCTGCACAAGGACGCGCAAATGATGAGCTCATAAGCTTAGCCGTCGGTCCTGCACCATTAGTACATCGATATTCAACATTTGTGGTGAATGGATTTAGATTCGATACAAAAGAGCTTGCATTGAGAAATAAAATGCAGAATAGTGGTGTTCTTGTGAGAGGAGATGATTCAGACTTTAAAAAGGAGTATTATGGTGTATTAGAGGATATTTATGAGTTATCTTATTTAGGAAACAGAAAAGTTTACTTATTCAATAGTCATTGGTGGGATGTGGCTCGCTTAGGAAGAGGATATAAGATTGACAAATATGGCTTCACAAGTGTGAATACTCGGTGTGCCTTGAATACAAATGAGCCATGTGTGTTGGCATCTCAGTCAGAACAAGTCTTTTACTTAGACGACATGGTCGATAATGATTGGCTTGTTGTTGTGAAGACAAATCCTCGTGACCTTTTCAAAATGCCTGATAATGATGATAATTGTCTAGATATTGAAGATGAAGAATTACTGAATGAAGAAGTTTATCATCAAGAGAAAGCTGAATTTAATACTTTGTGTACCAATGACGAAGAAAATATTGTTGAGGTGTCTCTACATAGGGATAATGTTGAACCACAAAGTATTAACTACGATCATGCAAGTACGCAAGCTCAAAACAATGTGCATAATGAGGAAGATGATTTCATTAATGACAATCATCTAGAAATATCAGAGAGTGAAGATAGTGAAGAAGAGTTATTTGATAATGATGATGATGGGGAGGACACCGATACATCCTCTTGAAGACTAAGAAGCAAAAGACGAATGATATAGATGTTACATCCTATTTTGAAAATTCTCTATATTTTTGTCCATGACTTTATACTACCCCATGTATTTGTTTGGAACTGTCAATGAACCAAAGATTAGTGATGATTGAATCTTTATATTTCTTTTTTGATTCTCTTCTGATGCTTGAAGCATTATGTCTATGTCTCATTTTGGAAAGTTCTCTATATGTTTTTCCTTATTAGACTTACAATGAAATTAGTTCGTGATGCTTGTAGCTTTATGTCTACATCTTATTTTGAAATTTTCTCTATATTTTTGTCCTAATTAGACTGAATAAAATTAATTCATAATTTTTAAAGCTTTAATTTCATAACAGAATAAGTGGTGAAGTAAAATTAGTGAATTAATATTTTCTCTATTTTGATCAATCATTTTCTTTGTATGTTTTATTGCAGGAAATGAGAGTAATTGGAAGAGGAAAACGTGGGAGAGGCGGGACGAGGTGTGATCGTGAATATTTTCAAGGACGTGGCAATTTTGGAGCAACATCTCAGCCACACATACAGACCGGACGAGTATGTGATGCATCTGTAGAGATAGGAAAACCAAGTAACCCGAGTCAAGGACCTTTACAGACTAGACGAGTATCTTTAGAAACACAATCATCACGAAATGTAGCAGAAACTGTGCATTGCTCTCCAGAGACTGAAAATTATGCAAGTTAGTTTCTGTTTTTTGTTGTTTTGTGAAAATTATTTTTACTGATTGAATGGAGCTACTAATGAACAATAGTATCCTTTTACTTTGCTGTTTCTTCCAGCAATAAAAAAAGAGGAAGTGGAAAATACAAATCTAAAAGTTTAGAAGTAAAAACTAAGTGTGGTGGCAAAATCAAAACTATGATTCCAGATGACATTGATAGAGCAGTAGGTTCTGGGGCTAGAGATATTGTTAATTACTGTGGTTTGATCCTGAGGAGCACTATCTCGTTCCAAGATGGAAATTGGCAGAAAATAGTTCTGAAATACGGAGAAGTAATGTGGTTAAAGGTCAAGGTAATAAACTACTTTCAATATTGTATAAACTTTAAGTTGCAAGGTTTATTTATGTGGTTAGGATATTGAATATAATGTTACATTTATTATCAGGATAAATTTGAAGTTTGCAGCGGGTTGCGAGAGCATAGGTTTCAGGCCATTGTAATTAGCACTATGAAAAGGCTTTTTAGAGCATGGAAAGCTCGACTCGGCATTTTGTACTCTAAGTACAGTACTAATGAAGAAAGATTGTCTCATCGACCTGAAGATGTTGAGCTTGAGTTTCTAGAAATACCTAATACAATATTTTGGAAGTCCGAAATTTAAGGTATTAACTTAATACCTGAAGATTGTCTCTTTGAATGATGATTTATTAATCTGTTTACTTACAGGTTGTAAGTGAGAGGAACAAAAGAAATAGAGAAAAACAAATAACTAAGCATACTTGTGGTACAAAGTCTTTTGCAGAAGTAGAGGAATCTACGGTAAAAATATATTTAGTCCCTTACTATCACATATGCTTCTTTGTTATTTACATATTTATATATTCGCTTATATTTTTTTTTTCCGTAACTACATTGCAGAGAAATCCTATTACTGGAGAATTGGACACACCAGATAAAGTTTGGGAGATCCAACATACATGCAAGGATGATACATGCGAACTGGTGTGGTTGGATTCACAATCCCAACAAATTCATGTAATTATCTAAAAACACTTATAAAGTTCTCTGTTTCTGTAAATTTCATTTAATATGTTTTATTATGTTTTGATTTAAATGATTATGCATAAATGCAGGGTCAACTCCAGGAAGTTGTCGCTCAGCAACAATCTGAGGAGATCGAGCATCCCATGACTAGAGATGAGATTTTATCCTCCGTTGTTGGTGAGAGAACAGGCTATGTTCATGGAAAAGGATACGGAAAGAAGCCTCCTAAAAAGAGTAACATTCAGCAGGCAAACATAGAGGCCAGCGTGTCTTCTGCTATTGATATTGTGCGTTAAGAGATGCAAGCCGAGATGGATAGGAAGTTGCAAGAAGAACGTGAACAAATGGCTGCTGAGTTGCGAAGAAATATGGAAATTGAGTTGGAAAGGAAGCTGGCAGAGGAGCGTCAACACACAAATGAGGAGCATCAACACGCAAATGCAGAAGCAGACAAAAGGATCTCTCTAGAAGTGGAGAAGAAGATGCAGGAACAATTTGCTAGTTTTTTTTTACCAGAATGCAACAACAACAGCTACTTGCTCCACTCCTTATTAACAAATAGAAACTGATTTATTTGGACGCTACAGAATAATTAGGCAATGAAACAGAAAACTAGCCGAAGAGGAGAAATAAGAAGAATGAGAAAATAGATATAAAGTATAGGAAGTAGGAAATAGAGATGTATGAGAATCCTGCTAGAGTATGTATAAAGCAAATGAGAGATTAGCTTATGACAAATACTTGACACTCTAAACACTGTTATCACCCAACAACCTAAGCTTCTCACTTGAAGGGTAAGAAAAAGCAAGAGATGGAAAAAAGGTGGTATTAGTTGCTTACCTTCAAATGAGAAGTGGGTTGGGGGGTATGCTTGAAAAGGAAAGAGAAGCTGCAATTTAACATAACATTCTCTTTTTTATTTATTATTTTTCTATGCATTGCAAATGGTTCTTGTTGGTTGGTCATTTTCTTAGATTTCTATTATCTTTCCCCTCCAAACTCTTGTTTTACTGTTTCATTGATGTAAACACTTCAATTTTGACTGTTGGTGAATCCATACTTTTTGTTGTTGGTATCTTTTCATTCTTATTTTTACTGCTGGTAAAAAGTTGCTGCTTGACCATGGTTTACTACTAACTGTTGGTGAATCCATACTTGTAATTGTCGGTCGAATAAACCCGTTTCTATTTGTAGGTTATTTTCTATTTTGAATTTACAGAGAATATTAATGAGAATTGAATGGCATTTTATTCACTGAAAAAGCCTAAGCATTACATCTCCTATGCTGAAAATTCGTATGAGAATTAGAGTCACATATTATACTATTACGAATATATACATCATCTCCTTTCTCTAAAAGTCTTAGGTTACTCAACAACTCCATGCAGTTAATAAGCCACAATTTATATACATGATGATAGCTGAAAGTGATTCTTTGGTGGACTATTGTCAATTTGTTATCATAATATTTTGAGAGAATATGGGCTCTTGGACTGTTATGGTTTTAAGATTTTACTTTTGGTTGCAAATTAATACTACCTCTTATTTACTGCTTTTATAACTTGGCTATAACAAATAAGTAGCATCTTTAGATAATTTACTGTATATATTATGGTTATATGAGAGTTATATTTCAGCTCTTCACATGTCCTGTATGAATTTTTCACGGCATTTGGCTTTTTTCTGGCTTGAATGTAGCGATATTGTAGCAATATGGGTGTTTCAACTAGGTTAACTATTGAAAATTTTCCAACATTGATCATCTAAGATTTAGCTAGACTTGGTACGATATGTTTTGATTCTAATGCTTGATTTTCTTTTCATTCAGTGGATACTAAGATGAAAGCATGTGCTGTCAACTTATCATATTAAAATTTAATCAATTGGAGTACTGTGTGTAGTAATGTGTACAATTAATATCGAGCAAACAGTTGAAAGTAGCCTTAGGATTTTGTATGCTATAGAAAATTTTGTTAAGTGTTTGCAAAAATGCCCTTCTTAGAGATGATTATGGTTCATCCAGGTGAGTTAATAGATTACTTAGTGGTTGTTTTTAAGTTTTAAGTACTTGACTACTTGTGTTGTTATTTACTTCTTTGAGGATTCTAGGCTATACTTTCTGGATTTTCCATTGGAGACTGATAGTTGTCTTGCTTTGAAATTATGTTGTTTAGACTGTAGATGGAGATTTAGGCTTCAATATATGTTTGAATTGTGATGTGTAGATGAGTTGAGTGCTTTCTACTTGTAAGCACATATATTAGTTGGTGTAAATTGGTATAGAAGAGTTTCTTTTTTATGTTTCAACAAGTTTGTGTAGAAAAGTTGAGTGCTTGCAATGTGTAGCTGAGTTGGCTAGCATTGTATAATGTTAGGTAAGATACTTATTCTGCTAAGAAATGCTAACCTTTAAACCATCTGGTGGCAGTGTTGAGTCATTTTTTGAATAAAGAGATATGAGATAACATTTCCAAAAATATGCTTTTTGCAGCATACATTTTAGAGCAGGAAAAATTGGTCTTGGTTTTGGACGTGTATCTAATTCCTTTTGCACTTTTCCTCATGTTCAGAATGTGCAGGGCTCTGATGCCCGGAGATGAAGAAAGCATGAGTGATGAGGCTATATGGGAGACCCTTCCCGTAAGTATAGAGCTCCTATTCTTTTTTATTGAATAAATAACCTACAGTTAGCAGTCATGTCGTTTCTTGTAGCTTATCTACTTGGAGGAATTTGATATTAATAGCCAGTGATACCTTTTAGATTGACTAGCTGAGTTTGGAGGAATTTGATGTTAATAGCCACTGATACATGTTTACAACCTTTTGCACATTGAGTATCTCGTGGGAGTTCTTGGCCATAAATTTGTCCGTTTATGTACGTAGCTATCTTTGTTATGTTTTTTGTGTCCAATTATAGACATTTTTCCAGTAGCTATCTTTGTTATGTCCGTTGCAGCTTCTGCAATACTGTTTTTGCGGTATTTATTTCTCTATTTCATGCAATTCTCATTTAACTGTCTCTATCAATCTTATATGTTTCTAGTTATCTGTAAATTGAAGAAGTTTCAATCNTAGCATTTTTTCCAACCTTTTGTGGCAACTTTGTCGCCACAAAATATGTTCTTTTAGTGGAGACTACGAATATCGCCACAAATAACCTTCAGTTACGGTTTTCCTTGTGGCAATACAAAAGTCGCCGCTAATATGTAAGTTTGATTTGTCACGACCCATTTTCATAATAGGTCATGATGACGCCAACACCATTGCCGCGCAAGCCAACGCGGAAAATACTAAATAAGTTCTCACTTACTTTTACCAAAATAGTTGCAATAATTCCTTAAATTAAAGTAAAAACCAAAAATAAACAGTAAGGTACCAAAAATAATCATACAACCCCAAAATACTAGTCTACTAATGTGTGTGCCAAGACCTGGTGTCACAAGTTGTGGGCAACTAGTAGAGTATACAACAGAATCAATCTATCCTACTGTTTGAAATAGAATAGATAGCAAAAATAAATAAGAGAGACTCCTTCAAGCTGCTGAACAACATGGGAAGGGAAGCAGCTCACCGTAGAAGTCTCGAAATCTGCTCAAGGATGCGCACCAGACTGATAGCTAGAGACAACTACCTCAGATCCTGTACAATTAAGTACATGAGTGGAGTATGAGTACATAAATAATATATACCCAGTAAGTATCCCGTCTAATCTCGAAGAAATAGAGACGAGAGGCCGCCGTGATACTTACTAGGGTCAAATAATATGAGAAAGAGTTTATTCTAAGCATGGATAGCACAATTAATTAGCATTTTATGGCAAGGAATAACAGTTCTTTTTCTAGATAATATCATGGGTATCCCTTTACATATCAAGGCATATACGAAGTTCAATCCATAGGAAAATACTAAAGTAAAGCATGCGCAATAACACCGAGGGTCGTACGGCCCGATCTAATATAAAAGTAAATTGTGCACTGCCAAGGGTCGAATGACATGAACCATAGATGCATCTATTACCCCGCTTGCAAATCACACGCACATGCAGCCGAATATAAATAAACTCAACAACAAGCAGACAATGGTGTATAACTGAGGAGCAATTATTCACAGAAATATTCAATTTCTCTTTAAAAGGTCAAGGAAAATAAGATTCCTCTTACTAGTTTTATTTACCTTAATCAACATGATTTATATGAATCCGAATTAAACACCAAGTTACAAGAATATCACATAGAGCATGCTTATGGGTCCTAGACTATCCGGACTTAGCATAATAGTAGCTACGCACGGGCTCTCGTCACCTAGTGCGTACATAGCCCCCGGATATAGCATCAATTTATTCAATTATTACACCTATGGGGACAATTCCCTCTTACAAGGTTAGAAAAGAGACTTACCTCGGTCCAAGTATACTTCCAAATGCCAAGAATGAGCTCAAACTCTCAATTTGGAGCCGAACGACCCAAAACTAGTTAAATGAGGTAGGAACTAGTCAATATAAGCTCATAAGATCGTATTCTATCTAGTTATGCAATTTTCCAACCCTCAACACAAGTTTCCTAAAATTCGACCCCAGGCCCACGTGCCCGGATTCCAAAATTTTTCGAAGGAAGTTGTTCTCTATAACCTAAGGATCAATAATATATGATTTCTAATTCATTTCATAACAAATTTTGTGGTTCAATCTATCTTTTGTCAAAACCCTAGGTTTTGCTCTAATCCCTTGATTTTACCTAAATTCTGGTGTTTAATCTACCTAATACACAAGTATTAAACTAAGAATAAGTGGGATAAACTTACCCCAAGATGGAAGCTTTCTCTCAAAAGTTCCCAAATCGCCAATGGAAGAGTGAAAAGTGGCAAAAAGGGACTTAGAACGCATATTAAATGAAGCTCACTGCTTCAACGATTTCCGTATCTGCGGCCAAGGGACCACATCTGTGGTCTTGCTTCAACGAGAAATCGGACGCACCTGCGGAGCCGGCCAAGCGGTGTTGCGACTGCTTCTCTGGTCTCGAAGTCGCTTCTGCGGTTCTGGCCTGGCCTACCCTGGGTCGCATCTACGATAAATGGACCGCTTCTGCGATCTCACACCTGCGGTCGACCAACCGCAGGTGCGGTTATGACAGAAGCAGATACTTCAGCACTTCTCAAAAATTCCAATTTCACTTGAGCCTCATCTGATTATCGCTCGGGGCTCCCGGGCCCCGCCCGAACATACAGACAAGTCTGGAATCATGAAACAGACCTACTCGAATCTTCGGAACGCCCGAAACAACGCTACATCTAAGAATCACCCTCCTAAAACTAATTGAATCAAACTTATGAACTTCAAGTTCTTAACTTTCCTCTAACGAGCCGAAACGCCCTTAAACTACTCGGATTGGCACCAAATTTTGTGGGCAAGTCTTAA